TTGGGATCCAAATTTGAAGAAAAATTTTCTGTTGGTAGATGGAGCTTCTCGGAACGTAGGCTCATTTCATATAGATTGCTGGCTATATTTTTCTTTTGGAGAGAAATTTTTAGTCACAAAGAGTCTTGTTAATTGTTATACAATCAGAAATTACATTTTCAGTAGCTTTTATTATGCAATAGGAGGTATAACCTCTTTGTCAGTTGACAGGCTTACTACAAATATTTCATTATTTGGGCTTGGTGTCCAAGAAAGGACATTTTTATCACAGCTCATTATATTCCCGGAAAGAAAATTGTGATGCTTATCATATGTTTAGAAATTTTACAGATTCAACAGAATGGCAATTGAAAGAAGAAATATTTGTTTTGTTTTTATCACGTTTTCATTTTCAAATCTGTAGATAATTGTTTCTCTGTCTTTTGACCAACAAACTCCTTTCAGAGATGTTTTTACTTTTCATGGTCAGAATTAAGACCTTATATTTTCCCATCTTTTTCCTTGTTGGGGATAATTATAAAGAAAATTATTAGTGAAGTTCAGAAGGCTATTTTTATTATTTCTTTTTGGCCGGCTCAGAGTTGGTTTTCTTTGCTAAGACCATTTTAATTTATTTACCAGTTAAACTGCTAAGCATAAAAATTAGTAACGATGTTGCATACTGAAGAATGCCTTCCCCTCAGGAAGAGACTAAATTTAACTGTGTGTATTGTAAAAATATAAGTGAACCAACACCTGAAGTGGTGATTGTGCGGTAGGGAAAAAATATGTGTATTGTATTCAGAAATCACTTATAAATAGAAGATTTCAGAATCATTTGCAAAATATGTTTACACTTCATCTTGGAGACTATGCATCTATGATCAAGCATTATCAATATTTTTTGAGAAATTTCATTATTTGGTGTGTTCAAAGGAGAACCAATTCCTTATCACCATCTGAAAAGGATGTTATTGATTATTGAATTTTTTTGTAAAACAGAAGCTTTTCATATTCAGCATGTTCAATGTAAATTTAACTTGGTCTATGTTGATTCAAACAGACTTGATCCTTTAAGAAGTAGATGTTACTAAATTTGTTTGTTTACTATATGTGAAGGGTTGCTTAAACCTGAATCTGCAATTGAAGAGTTAGATACTCCACTTGGGAGGTGAATTTAGTGCTAACTTTTTTAAGTTCTTTATATTCATTGGAGGATTTAACATTGAAGACTGTCTTTTATACTTGTGTCTTTATTTGCCTTGACTACAGCTGCCAAAGTACAATCTTTATCAGCTCTAGATTTACATTCTATGTCTTTCATTCAGAGACAAGGCAATTTATTTTTTCATATACATGAGCTTTTGAAAAATACTAGATCTGTTTGTTAGTCTACCTAATGAGGTGTTCAAGGGTTTTGATAAACCAAAACTTTGTGTTGTTAAGACAATGATTTATTATGTTTTGTGTACAAAATATGTGAGGAATTCACCTAAGTCTGTTTATTTTTTATGGAGCTTTTCGTAAAGTTTAGATAGTTAGAGAGAGTTCTAATTTTAGCCGACGTTTTAAGGTTCACTCATTTAGAGGAACCTCTTCATAAGTGCCTTTAGCTTCAGGATGTTCTATTAAAGACATTATGGCAACAGCTTAGTCTGGACATGTGCTAGAACTTTTTATAAGTTCAATAACAGGGAAGTGAATAATATCAGTACTAAAACACTTTTCTTCAGTTGTAATTACTGGATGATTTTGTGATTTTTATGCTTTATTAAATGTGGCATTTATGTAAAAATTGTTTTTAGTTTGTGTCTACACTTTAAACAAGCTAATTCATTACTTGAGACCGAAGGCGAAATATGAATAAGAATGTTCCTTCATCCAAGCATATCTTGGATGTGCAGGATGAAGGTCATTCTTAGAATATGAGCCTGAGGCTCGAAAGGAATTAAGTCCCACCCTAGGGATTATCAGTCAGACCCACCCTTTTCCAATGGGTGTTATGGTCGACACAAACTTGCTTTAAATGATGACAAGTTATTATGGAACAGGTGCTTATATACTAGGGTCAAGGTCACTGGCCATCTATGGTCTGGTGGTTATAGTTTGTTTCTGTAAACAGAGATATTACATGTAAGCTTCACCCCTCATAGAGAAGTTAAGCTAATTCATTACTTTCGAGCCTCAGGCTCATCTTCAAAGAATGTCCTTCATCCTGCACATCCAAGATATGCTTGGATGAAGGAACATTTTGTTGTAATGATGTGGACATTGTTATGTCAATACGGGTATTTATTGATATATTTAAATATCGGACAATTATGATGTCTGAACTTTTTCAATGAGTAATTAGCTGTTTAAATATATATATATATATATATATATATATATATATATATATACTAATACATCTAATTGACATCTTTTGATATATTCATCCAGTATTTAAATGAAAATAGGATGCGAACGAATCCAAGGGGCGAACGTGTATGGTGAGAATGTGTTTTTGGGGCGAACGCACCAGATACCGTCGTACATGTCAATATTTATATTTTCTTTTTTTTTAATGTCATGCTTTGATATATCATCTATAATTCTGTCCTTTTCTGAAAAATGAACAAACCGCTCTGTATTTTTGACCGTACGTATTTCCTGTTTTGTAGAACGTTTTGCATGGTTTGTTGACATCGGGAAAGGGTGCTCTCATACACGCCCGCGTTCCAATGTCGTCAAAACTATTTTTGAGAAAACCCCTCAAAGCGACTGTTTCCAAGGCGCTCGTCGTTAGAAACATGCGTTAAAATATGCGCACTGTTAAAGGGCCCAGCCACCTTAACATGGTGCACAATGCGTATGGTTTATCAAATATCCTCTCCTATAATCTTTAATGGGTAAACAGAAAATTCATTCATATTTCAAAGCTGACGTCACATTTCATGATTGGATTGTCTTTGTGGTCCACGATCAATAATGCTATAAATTGATAGGGATCATGAATATTTTAGCATAAATATTTCTGTTGTGAAAAATTATCGATTGTGTTGGATATTAGACAAAAGTATAGGTCATCATGCTTCTGATTTAAAGTAATCAAAAGGTGTGCATAGTTTTGTTATATTCAAAAGATTTAACAAGTCTACAATACGCAAAAAATGAAAAAAATGAAAACAAAAAACAAAAAACAAGAGACGATAAATTTCAACAATAAAACTTTCCGTAAATTAAAGCAAAATATAGTCAGCATTGTCTGTGTGTTCCTTTTGTACTATATATTTGAATTTGATCAATTCACAGTAAACTTCATTTTCATTTCATTAATGATTTCGTCTGTGTAATTACGCTTTTTTATATTCATAGGAGAAGTCTTCAAAAGAATAGCATTGTTTTCAAAAGAGATAGACAAATGTTTTGAATCAAAGAGATGTAAAAAATATTCAGTCAACAGTAAGCATATTCTATAGTATCGTACTGCACATTTGTGGTATGTATCATGTGAATTATATATCTAATAAATTCATCATAGATACCGGGATTAGAATTGTATACGCCAGATGCGCGTTTCGTCTACGAAAGATCATCACTGACGCTCGAATAACAAAAGTTTTAAAAGACCAAACACAAATAAAGGGTACTGTGGATTCATTAATATTCGTTGGATACTAATTTTCGTGGATTTCGTGGGTACCGGGGAACCACGAATTTAAATGTTCAACGAATTACAAATTTTCTTTAGGAATGTATGCAGACTTTGCCAAAACCACGAATTTAAATATCCACGAATATGCAAGTTTTCCTCAATCCACGAAAATTGGTACCCACGAAAATAAATGAATCCACAGTAATCATTTATCGAAATTTTCCCAGGCCATTTGCATTATTTTCCATATTAACAAAAATTCATAAAGCAATTCACGTATAAAACCTATAAACTACCAAACTGAACATTATCTTATTTACAAAGTTAAACGAAATAACATGAAACACTAAATTCTAAGGGGAGTTTTATTAATGTTCTTTTAGAGGGTAAGTATACTGCATAACGAACTATATATTTTTCACCAAATCTTGCTTCATTGAATTGGTTCCCTATTGGCTAAATTGCATATACTTGAAATTCATCAATCCACAGTAAACCCGTTTATGATACGTAACTATATTGAACGCATCTATTCCATCGAACTTCAAATAAAGGATACAACAGGTACAGTTAAGTCTGCATAATATTTTGACTCACATCTAGAAATTGAGAGCGATGATGGGTTGAGAACAAAGCTTTATGAAACAAGAGATGATGTCCAATTGTAAACTTTTCATTTCTATGTACAAAATTCTATCAGGGCCTGCATATGGAGTATATATCTTCCTGTTGATTCGACATTCAAGGGCTTGCATTACCTAATTATGATTTTCTTGATAGAGGGTTGATGTTTGCTATGAAGCTATTAAACAAAGCGTTCCAAGTGCTGAAGTTGAAATCATCCCTTCGAAAATTTTACGAACACCATCACGAGTTGGTTGGCCCTTGTGAAATATATTGTTCACATATGACGACAGATATGTGTTCCAATTGTTTTTACCGCAATCCGGTCATCTTCGAATGACCTACTGAGTTAGACTTATCACCGGGTTTGTACTTACATGAACAACACGACGGTTGTCAATTTGTTTTCAGAACTATGCGTTTGAATATTTCTTTGGTGTCTTACGCCTATCTTTTATCAATAACCATGTAAGAAACATAATTTATGAAATATTTTCACCATCAATCAATGTTAGCTTGTTTGCATTACAATAAATGTGCAAATATAATAGTTTAAAGGGATTTTTTCACGGTGCTTCCGATGTTGCAAATATTCTTGGCTAGAGTTTCCTAAACACACGTGTCACGTAATAAAAAATCGGCGATAGACATTAAAACAAATTAAACATGACGTTATGTTTAGTTGATATCCTTTAAATAACAAATGACTCTACACGATTATTGACAAATGAATAATTTTGCGCTTTTCTTTCAGATATAAAAATCGTTTTTTTCATTAGCTTCGTACTATTGGTGCTAGTTTCTGGCGCTTTGATTGGTGTTTTTGAAAAAGATTTATGCTCGGGTATGTTGTATTGAAGAATGAATTTGAACCCTTTTACAAAAATGCATTTGTTTTATTGAATTATTTTTGAACAATTGGATACTTAACTTGAAGGTTACCAAATTACACCTAATTTGACAGTTTTGTCAACTACGTTTATCTATGATCCAGACAAACGTTTCCACTCTGATTTTATTTAGTATTTAGGTACACTCATTTAATTTCAAATCCATGATGAATCATAGAAAAAATTGTTTGAACAGACCTCCAAACCATCCATGATTCTGTAATGAGGAGTAACCAAATTGCATCCATGCTTTAATTTACATCCTTAAAAATCGTAAAACAAATGTATTGTTATATTTCTTCAATGAGGACGTCGCATGGGACGTTTCCGTAGATTTTACTTTTTCCAGTGAATACTTCATTTGTTGATATATACTGTGAACGTTTTATGAATATCTAAATATATCAACATATGTTGAAAGACGTGTATAAAGTTAAATCATAACGATAAGAATTGTTTAGTCTCAAAGAAATCTTTCCGCTGCTTTTTTTGCTGAATAGGTGCAATTTGGGTACTCCGTGCAATTTGGGTACTCTTTGCAATTTGGGTACTCTGTGCAATTTGAGTACTGTAACATTCTTTATGTTATTAGATCGGAAAACAAATTCCGCATGAAATAAAAAAAACTATTATCTAAAAGGGTTCCTTATCGTTTAACCGACGTAATATAATAAACGTATCTTTTTGTGTACACACAATGACCGTAGCCCTACGTAATTTCATTTTTTTTTCAATTATATTAAAGAAATTTCGTCAAATGCCATTTGGAGAAACAAAAACGTATTGCGATTTTTAAAATCAATAATAATTGATAAAAAATTAGATAAATCTTGATGTACAAATTCGCTCCGTTACAAAGAAACTGCCACGTTACATTCCATGAAATTGTGTAAATGCATTCTGATACAAAATCCCGAAATAAATTATGATAAATTTAGAAAACTTTTTAGATTTAAATAAAAAGATTTGTCTCTTAGTTTTGATAGTTCGAACTTGGTTAAAAAAATACACCTACATATATGTTGAAAAGATGAAGCTATGATAAGGGTCATTATTTTGCCCCTGACAGTTGAAAAATATTAATTTTCGGATCACAAAACATGACTTATTAATTTTTTATGTATATATCCATTTAAGTAATGAATGCTTCTTTTTGTAATTTATTGGGGTGTAAAAGTGTTGAACGAAGCACATTTTGTATGAAGCATGGAAGCCTTCCTTCTAAAAATATGTGCACGATCAACACTTTAACACCCCAATAAAATTACAAAAAGAAGCATTCATTTCTTATAATAACATTTTATGATAATAAGACCACGAAAAAAGTTTTATCAAGTTTTTCTTTTATTTACCTGTTTTCCTTTTTTGTGGCAGCATGTGTCATCACGAATGTAACATTTCATTTTGATATGAAGGTTAATTTTGGAATGACGCCCGACTGTTGATAGCCAATCAAACTAACGGATTCGCGTTGGACAATAAAACCACATTGATTTTCTTTTCGTAATGAAAGAAATAGTCTACTGGCAAGCACGATTACGTCACCATAGACTTGGTAAGATTGAGAGCTGAACATATTGTATTGACACATGTCGATTTGTAAAACATATTAACTTGGCTTTTTCTTTTCCAGGATCGTTTATTTTCATTGTTTTTGGAATAATAATATGCCTAACTCTTTTAATCCTGTTCCTCAGAAGAATCAAAGGTATTTCATTAATATGAAGGACTTTTCTCTTTGAAAATAAAGTAGTTATTTGGAGGCAAGAAGTTCTAATCAATTGGTAATATTGCATATTTCATGGGTTTTTGTTTTGTTTTTTTTTTGAAAAGGGGGGGGGAGGGGTACTCACAATTGTGTGTTGGATCTTTGATATTACTGTATATGACTATTTATTTCTTCATCGAACAATTAATACTTGTAAAAAATGTGCATATATATACAAACAAAAAACTAAACAAAACAAAAAGAAAAACACGTGCTATCATGTAAGAACAATTTGAATTGTATGATTGACTTACACCAATGTTAAATTCAAACAATTCATCGCATAATGTATTCCGTATTATATAATTAGCCATTGTTGCTTTAAACTTGCTAATTACGACACATGTTTTAGATGTCAAAGAAGAGTTAAATGGATCAGCTGATGAAACAATATCGGTGGTTAGCGCAGACGTAAATGATTTAGTTGACGAGGGATCAAGTGGTTTAAATTGTGTTGATGACGAAGGAGCAAATGATTAAGAAGAAGAAGGAGCGATTAATTCAAGTAAATTGTAATGTATTCAAACATATTGCTTTATCGGTTGATGTACACTCTTGATATATTTTGTAAAGTGAGTCTACTGAGATATATGGCTGCAAAAAATGGAAAACAACACGTTTAATAATTTCATTCGTCCGAAGCGCTTTTCTGGATTTACCTTCATCAGGAACACTCAATGCCAAACATTTGAAATCCGAGGGATGTATAAGTACAGTTGAAGAGCTATATGACAAAAATACCTAAAGCGAATAGCCAAATTCATCTAAGGTCAACTTTGCCTGGAGGAGTTGAAACCTTAGTTTCTTTATAATTTCAAAATTTATAAACGGACAATTTTAGAACAGTTTGTTATAAATCATGTCAGTACCGAAATACTGACTACTTAGCTGAAGATACCCTCGGGGACTGATAGTCCACCAGCAGATGTATCGACCCAGTGATGTAAAAAATTGAAAACAACACGTTTAATAATTTCTGCTGTAGCGGATTTGCACTAACGTGCTGATATAGGATATAGACAGGATTTGTTTGTATATTAGCAAATATTTATATGCTTGATAACTTGTACAGATAAATATTTGGTATGCAGAACAGTCTTAATTGTAGTGATGACATAAGATATAGAAACCTTTTGTATGTGCTATACGAAGTTAATTTATTCTGCGAATGTATAACATTTTCAAACCGAAAAGAATTATTTTGAAAGGTGGTGCGGATATAACGGTTTTTATTCTAAACAGCAAGAATACCTTGTAATCAAATTTTTGATGATTTTTGTGAAATCCTTTGGATTTATAAGGCAACCCTAACTTTTCCTTGTGATGTAACATTCACCAATATTATATTATTTCTTTTGTAGATGATATTTACGTACAAAGAACTTGTATTTTCGGTGGACAGTAAACGAGGTGGTTCCCTCTCGGAGAATAATCATTTGACCCGATGTAAAAAACCAAAAATGATTGTCAGACTGTTCAAGGTGGATTTATAGAAAAAAACATATGTCACAAATGTTACGTGTGTGTATTTGCTTTAAGTTCTTTATGCATTTTATAGAATAGCAATGTTAAGTTATATGCCACTGTCTCTTTGTTCTACTTTATATAAGAAAGTGTTTTAAAATGTTGTATAGATGAGTCAGCGTATTTTATGATGTGAAATCACTTTTTTTTGTTTTGTTTTAATACCCTTTTTGGGTAATAATTGTTCATTTTTTTAAAGTTTAAAATCTAACTTTCGAAGAGCCCACAGCCTACTATATTGAGATTTTATTGTTTGCCTAATAGTATAGCAAAATAGTTCATTAAGAGGTATACAAAAATTAGTACAGCACGACATTTGGCAATAGGAACTAAGCATCAACGCGTTTGATATGAGCAATGTTGATATTGGGAACAAATCAATACAACAAAAACCAAAAAAAAAATAAAAAACCTGTTTTATCGATACAAAATGTATTTCCTCTATAGCACACTTTATTTGTACATGAAAACCGGTATATTGAGTTGTTTGTACACGACCATTCATTAAGACGAGCAGGCGTTATTTTTTTTAATTAAAAACAACTTGCAAATTTAAATTAAACCATTGACATTAAAACAAAATCATGTCTCCGTAATTGGACAAATGAATGAAACAAATGTGCCTGAGAATTATAACTCTAGTTTTATGTTTCAGTCGTAAGAACTATTACTTTAAGTACGTTTTAAAATACTGCAAGAGTGAAATTTTCACCGCAGGCAGCATAGTTTTATTAAGAATAATCCAAAAAGGGACAGACGTTTTTTTATTTAATAAAATTATCCTTTTAAAAATCACATGCCAAATCTATTTGCCGGAATCCTGTATAAGCCTTCTCCTGTAAAAAAAAAAAAAAAAAAAAAAAAAAAACATGCTCGATACTAGAACATAAATATGATCCAATTACTGTGGTGATATAGTTATAATTAAGGGTATGGGAGTATTTTATCCTCTATCTGGGACTGACTGCGAGAGATAATCATGGAAATGTTTTCATATAAGGTGTTTTAAATCATTTTATTTGAAGTTCTCCCTATCAATATTGTAAGTACGATAGTTGTTCGTCGTCTGCATATTTCATTTTTAATAGTCCTGAGAGTTGTTTTAATGGCATTGGTGGGCAGTGTTTGTTGTAAATCCCTAACTCATCATAGACACAGTTAATCCACGCTTCACCATTCCATTCAGGAGCAAAAGCTTATCGATCCTTTAAATAAACCAATTCAATACTATAATAAGATCTTTGAATATTGTGTTTATTGGTATTAATATTGATTTTTTTATCAGTAAATTAAAATCAAACTATATATTATTTGTATGTATGTATGCACATTTAATGATCTACATGCTATCGATACCTGTATCTTGGTATTACACAAGGTCATGTTTTTAGCTGACTGTTAATTAGGTCTTTACACTAAATACATTGGATGTTGGATGTGTACTGATAGACATTCAAGACTTAAATGCATGATTTTTGTATTAGTTATAATTGGCTTTGTACTAGCTGTCAGTAATTGCGAGTACTCTCAGATCTGTAAGTAATGTCTCTGTGTTGTGGGGATGTATAAGTACCATGCCACGTCCACTCTGTGTTTTTGTTAAATGTGTTTCTGCTTTGTATCCGATGAGTTAAGCCCTTTACAACTGATATTTATAGTTTGTTTTTATGTTGTACTGTTACACCAATGTCCCAGGTTAGGGGAGGGTTGGCGCCGTCAAACTAGTTTAACCCCGCCACATTCTGTATATGCCTGTCCCGAGTCAGGAGACTGTAATTCAGTGGTAGTCGTTTGTTGCTGTATATCACGTTTGTTTTCATTTATTATGTTGTACATAAATCAGGCTTTTAGTTTTCTCGTTTGAATTGATTAACATTTGTCATTTCGGGGCATTTTATAGTTGACTATGCGGTATGGGTTTATTCACTTGTGGAGAGTTGTCGCATTGACAATCGTACCACATCTTCTTATTTTTTTTTTATTATTACATGACTTGCCAATCCGGTACATCGTTTGCAGTGATGGTTGCATTTATGTGTTGATCATCAACAGATACTTGAAAATTTAAAGAATGAAATGTGCAATATGACCTGTGTATCGTACAGCACTAAGATATTGTTGTCCATGCCACCAGCATTTAGTATCTCTCTTTTCTCTTTTATATGGGAAATTATAACGATAACGACTTGTATCTTAATGAACAGATCGTCTGATGGCTTGGGTTATGATCAATTGTCGTTAGTTTCCCTTTCATAAACATGTTATTTGGTATCCAAAGGTAGTATGATACTTCAGCATTTCCTTTGTTATCTCTACAAGACATGAAGAGTAATAGGTTCACTAAAAGCAACAAAGTTTTAATATACATTATTGTAAATACGTTTAAATAGAGACAGGTGATTTTTATTTCAATTATAAGGTAAAATAACAAACTTTAATCGAACTTTTAGCAAAATTCAAGACGGAAAGTCCCTTATCAAATGGCAAAATCAAAAGCTCAAACACATCAAGCGAATAGAAAACAACTGTCATATTACTGACTTGTTACAGGCATTTCCTTATGTAGAAAATGGTGGATTTAACCTGGCTTTTAAGCTAGCTAAACCTTTCAATTCCATTATATTGACATCTATGTGTGAGCAAAAACAAACAAACATACTAGGTACAAATGTCAAAATTGGGGTACAGGAGTCAACATTGTGTTATAAACTTAATCACTATAAAAAAAACAAATATGTCAACAAAGAAAAACAAAATGGGTAATAAAGCGTATCTAGAAGTTTTTTTTTTTAGAGTTTTTTAGAATACACATATGGTCAATATCAATACGCGAGTAAACAGTTTCACAGTATTTCTGAAGACCTTCTTTTACAGATTGTTTTGTCAATCTAACGGAAAATGTCTTTGTTGAATATGCAGATGAGACGGCACTGTATCGTTGATTGTGCGCAATTTTGTGAAGCTTTTGTATCAAATAAAAAAACAAGATAAGTCCTCAGACTTGCTGTTCAATGTAATGTTCATTTAAGCCATGTAGGACTTATGATTCGCAAACATCTCATCCTTGTCAAATTATATGGTTTTGTATGTAGGATTACTTGAGTGCTCAATTATTCCTATATCTTTACAAGAAATTCGTATTAGTACGGATTACATACAAGAAAAATATTATTTGAAATTGTGTCCGCAGGAACAACAACATAATTATCGTGAAGAGATGATAGATATTTTACAGAAGCCCTTTGAAAAAGGTCTTGGCAAATTCATTTCCTGCATTCCTTATAAGCCTTCCTCTGTAGTGAAAACAAAATATGCTTTATATACTTATTTGAACTAGATGATAAGATTAAAGTGGTTGACCTTCTTCTACACACATTCGACGTACATTTTGGTAATATAGAATTCCGATCGACATATCTTACTGGAACTGTACGTGCATGTGAGGAGATGACTAAAGTTGTACATGTTCTCTATGATACCATCTATGTACGTTCTGACAATACAGTATTTAGTTGGACACTAATTACGCTCTCTTTTTATTGTAGATTTGTTCATAACTTATTCGGAATCGCAGTTTATTGCCAATCCTAGTAAACTGCGGTCTAAAAAGTATTTAATTTATAAACTTATCCACACCACGTGTTACCTTTTCCGAGCATCACTGATATTTTTCAGTCAACCAATGTGTCCGATGAATATGCTGGTAAGGGCTGAATAGTCTACGCCGATTATTTCCTCTGGAGAATGCCGCTCATGTGGTATCAAATGCTGCAAATCCTGCAAACAGATACATCATTCATCTCCATCCTTCAGACAGGCCATACACAAACCGTGAAGTATTGAGCAATTTGAACTAAAAAAGTATTCATTTAACATCTACTATATTATCATAATACTGGGGGCTATGATTTGCACTTCTCTAAATCAATCTGGCAACCATTAACTGTGTATGATAAGACACTAATGAGGCTCTTTTTTCATTTTAGATTTGATCATAAATTATCACAGTTTAAAGTCAATCATAGTAAAGTGCGGTCTACAAGTGATTTAATTTATAAACTTAACAATATCACAAGCTATTTTGCTAATATTCGAGTAACATGAGTAACGTAATGTAGGTATATTTTGATTTTGTCCTTTGTAAACTCTGTTTCACTTTCATAAATTTGTCTACTGTTATTCTATATGTTAGACGTAAAAAGGGTTTTGGGCTTTATAAGATACTGTTTTTCACTAAAAACGAAAATGTTTCTGTTTTTTTTTTTTTTTTTTTTTTTTTATTTTCGTTTTTACATATGATGCGTCACTATGTAGTTAATATGTAAGCCACTTTTATAAATAAAGCTAACCGCGAAGTCCAGTCTACAGTAATTACACATGTCAAGTTCTATTTTATCATTGTCATTTCGAGAAATGATATCAATAACAGGACGGAAACTTATTCGTTTTTATAAATAGATATTAGTTTTATCCGTGTTATTTGTTAAAATATGATTTCATTTTTCATGCTGTACTTCCTGTTATGGCAAGGTGAGCTTTGAAAACTTCAATAAATATGTTAATATCAACTGTTGGCATATACGTACGATCTTATCAAGGCGTTTATAACTTAGTATCAATAGTATATTTTGGACATTTTCATCGAAATTGGTAACTTATTTTGATTTTCTGATGATCTACACTACTACTCCCAATGACCAATTGCACCAATTTTAAATCTTTATGTTCAAATCATTAAACGTGGTTATACATTTCTAGATATAAAAAAGGGGATGGTTGGTTTGATTGCAAATGAGACAACTCTCTACCAAAATTCAAATGAAGTGACTGTAAGCAATTATAAATAACCGTGCGGCCTTCAACTAAGTGCAAAACCATCATCGTATATCAGTCATCAACGGTCCCGACATGAAAAGTGTGAAAAAAATTCAATCGAAAAAACTAACGGCCTTATGTATATCGAAACCATTTACGGAAACAAATATTAAAGACATGCATCAACGACAACCACTTAACTACATGCCCCTGACTTTGGACACATAAGGAAAGTGGCAGGGTTACACATGTTTGTGGGCGCACTACCCTCCCTTAGCCT